GCATTGAGTGAAATCATCTTTAAGGATAGTGAGAGGGTCGAGAGCAATAAAACATAGGGTCCACCCCCATTAGGTCACCTAGACCAGGAGGTGGTCAGCATGCAGCAAGGGGCCCGTTCCCACGAAGGCAAGGGCCCAGTTCCCACGAAGGCAAGGGCCGTGTGCAGTAAGGGGGTGCAGTGTGTGATACTTATATCTATGGGAAACTACTTCTAAGAAGATTTATAGGAGGATGCTTTAAGTCACATAGCAGTGACAGAGCTGTCAGGGTTACCGCCACCTTCTGGCAGCTTCCAATGGGTTCTATGGGAAGATGCTTTTCAAGCAGCACAGTAGCAAGAGCTGATAAGTTCACAGTCACCAAGGAGGATTGCCGTTCTGAGGGCAGCCTTCCACAAGAACTGGAGCAAGGTCCTACAACTCCTTCATCAGGATGAGTGGCTCTCACCCCAAGCCTGCCAAACAGCGGGTATCTTTACGATACTGAACGCTGCTGCCTGGGCCATGGATTCTTGTCCTGGTATAACTGTTTTTCCCAGATTCATGCTCTGCACTGTGTCTGCTCCAGGCATTTCTCCAATTATAAGCTGCTTATTCCTTAATTCATGCTCTGTACTGTGTCCACTCTAGGCATTCCTCCGATTATGAACTAAGATATAATTATAGGTATATATGTAGGGAAATATTCTTCAGGCACTCATACTATCAACTATTATATGATTATATATAGAGGGTTATATAAAGGGATTCCTCAAGCCCTATTTCTATAAACTAATATATGATTATGTAAAGGATTATATACAAGGAAATAGCTGAGTAGTAACACTATGAAGTGAGATATTCCTCAAGCCCTAACTGTGCCAGGGTTCTGCTTAGATCTCATTCCTCGATGCCTATATGGGGGGTTACCCACAGGGCTAGGCGCAATGGCTCACACCTGTAATACCAGCAGTTTGGGAGGGCAAGGCGGGCGGATCACGAGGTCGAGGGATCAAGACCATCCTGGCCAACAGGTGATACCCCTTCTCTACTAAAAAAAAAATACAAAAATACAAAAATTAGCTGGACATGGTGGTGCGTGCCTGTAGTCCCAGCTACTCAGGAGGCTGACATAGGAGAACTGGAGGCAGACACTGCAGTGAGCCGAGATCAAGCCACTACACTCCAGCATGGTGACAGAGCGAGACCCCATCTCAAAAAAAATTACATGCCTGTAATCCAAGCACTTTGTGAGGCCGAGGTAGGTGGATCATTTCAGATCAGGAGTTCAAGATCAGCTGGCCAACATGGTGAAACCCCCTCTACTAAAAATACAAAAATTAGCCAGGCATGGTGGCTCATGCCTGTAGTCCCAACTACTTGGGAAGCTGAGGCAGGAGAATCACTTGAACCCGGGAGGATGCAGTGAGCTGTGCTGAGATCACACCACTGCACTCCAACCTGGGCAAGAGGGCAAGACTCATCTCAAAAAAGTTTCCTTTAAGTTCCTAAAGGAAATTAAAAGTGCTACCCCAGTGAACACACAAATAAGAAAATGGTCAGGCCTGGTGACTCACAGCTGTAATCCCAACACTTTAGGAAGCTGAGGCAGGCAGATTACTTGAGGTCAGGAGTTCAAGACCAGCCTGGCCAACATGATGAAACCCCATCTCTACTAATAATTAAAAAAAAGTAACTGGCACAGTGCTGCAAACCTGCTATCCCAGCTACTTGGGAGGTTGAGGCAGGAGAATTACTTGCACCCAGGAGGCTGAAGTTGCAGTGAGCCATGATCATACCACTGTACTACAACCTGGGCAACAAACAGTCTCAATAAAAGAAAGGGAGGGAGGGAAAGAGAGTGAAACAGCCTTATTGGTGATATGGGGAAAGTATGAGTGGTCTGGATAGATCAAACCAGCCACAACATTCCCTTAAACTGAAGCCTCATCCAGAACCAGGCCCAAACTTTCTTCAATTCTATGAAGGCTGGGAGAGATGAGAAAGATGAGGAAGAAAAGTTGGAAGCAGCAGAGGAGAGGCTGGTCCATGAGGTTTACGGAAAGAAGCTGTCCCCATTAACACAAAAGAACAAGGTAAAACAGCAAGTGCTAACTAAAAGAAAAGCTACATCAGGTTATCCAGTAAGTCTAGCTAAGATCACTACTTCTGCCTATAATCTGGAAATGGAATAACACATTACTGAACATTTTAAGCCCACTATTGAGATCCACTGCTCAGAAAAGGATTTCTTTCAAAACAGTACTGCTCATTGACAATGCACCTGGTCACTCAAGAGCTCTGACAGAGAGGTACACGGAGATGAATGCCGTCTTCATGTCTGCTACCGCCACATCCATTCTGCAGTTATGGGTCCAAGACGTAATCTTGATTTTCATGTCTTAATTATTTAAGAAATACATTTTGTAAGGCTATAGCTGTGGTAGTGATTCCGCTGATGAACCTGGGCAAAGTAAATTGAAAACCTTCTGGAAAGGAGTCACCATTCTAGATGCCATTCATGATTCATGGAAGGAGGTCAAATGACGACACTAACAGGAATTTGGAAGAAGTTGAGTCTAACCCTCATGATGACTTAGAGGAGTTCAAGACTTCAGTGGAGGAAGGAACTGCAGATGTGGTGGAAATAATAAAGACTTGCATGGATAAGCAAAGACAGTGGTTTCTTGAGATGGAATTTATTCCTGGTGAAGACGCTGTGAACACTGTAGAAATGACTTAGAATATCACATCAACTTAGTGGATAGCAGTGGCAGTTTGAGAGAATAGCCTCCAACTTTGAATTTCCACTGTGGTGAAAATACTATCAAAACAGCATCACATGCTACAAAGAAGTCTTTCATGAAAGGAAGAGTCCATCAGTGCAGCAAACTTCACTGTTGCCTTATTTTAAGTAACTGACAGCCACCACCACCCATCAGTCAGCAGCCATCCACAGAGACAAGAATGTCCACGTACAAAAAGAGCAGGACTCACTAAAGGCTCAGATGATCTTTAGTACTTTTAACACTAACGTATGTTTTAATTAAGGGAACCACATTTTTATAGATAAAGTGCTCGCTACTCCACACTTTAAATAGTATTGCATAATTACAACTCTTATATGCACTGAAAAACCTAAAATTGAGTTGTGTCACTTGTTTATTGCAACACTGTTACCGTGGTGGTATGGAGTGGAACTCAAATTATCTGAGGCAAGCCTGCGTACAAAGGGAGGATTCACAAATCACTCTATGCTAAGTAAATCGCACTGAGTGATGAAAGGCTCATTTCAGTCAGCCTGCCACCTTCCAAATTCATCCATGACAAAATGCATGAGCATCACCAATAACTACACTGGCAAAGAGGTTCACGTTTCACCGGGATTCTCGTGTTTAGAGAAAGCCTGTTTTTCAGTATGCCAGGAAAAATCTAAAAGCAGACCTAACTAAAGCTGGGGGTTTCTTCCATCCCGAAGAGGAAAGCACCCGCTTCCTAAGGAAAAACGATCTCCTGTTTTGACACGCAAACTCTTAACCTAACGAGTCACAGAACCCCACGCACAGGTGGAGCCCCCGGAGGGCCGCAGCCCCGCGTCGCGCTCAGCCCTGCCTGCCCGGGCCAGACCTCCGGGGGCCTCCCGTCACGAATACGCCATCGGAACCCAGGCCCTAACTGGTCCGCTCGCAGAGCCACTGTCCAAATAAGGCGTTTCGAGAGCCACGGGGATGACACACAAAGCGGACTCCGGTTTCTTTCTTCGTGAAGTGACACGCTGACAAGTGTCGGCATTTCAAGCGCTTCCCTCCCGAGGAAGGCGCAAACCCACCGGGCGCCCAGACCCTGCCGGCACTTCCTGTCATCCATTTCCACGACCCGGGTGACAGAAGCCGCTCTTCCCACCATTCTCGGGACGCCGGGGCCGCTTCCCAAACACTGCGGACAGCGCGCGGCCCCGGGCTGTTCCCGCGCGGCGCCCAGCTGAGGGCCGCGAGACCCGCGCGCTCGCCACGACCGAGGCAAGGGCCGGGGTCGCGGCCGCCATCTTCCTGCCTGCGCTGCCGCGCGCCCCGCACCCTCCGAGCAGCCCCGCCGGCCCGGAGGACCCCGAAGAGGCCGAGGACCCGCCCGGCCCCACGCGCGTCGCCCGCCCCGCCCCGCCCCGGCGCGCGCCCCCGGCCCCGCGCGCCCCCGGCCCCATACGCCCGCCGCC